TATGCGACACTGGTCAGGCTGCAGCTGGAGTACTGTGTTCAGTTCTGGGCGCTGCACTTCAGGAGGGATGTGGACAGCATTGAGAGGATCCGGAGGAGGGCCACCCACATAATCTGGGGACAGCAGGGCAGACCTTATGAAGAGAGGCTACGGGACCTTAACCTGTTCAGCCTTCACAAAAGAAGGCTGAGGGGGGACCTGGTGGCCATCTACAAACTCACCACAGGGGACCAACAGGGTTTGGGAGAGACCCTGTACCCCATAGTGCCCCCCGGGGTAACAAGTGTGGCAGAAATGCCACCGTCTGTGCCCCTCTCCAGAGATCTGTTTCTGCCAGTGTGGGAGGCTGGGGGTTAAGCTGTGGGGACAAGTGGGCACATCCAAGGACAAGGCAAAGATCCAGGATGACATTGACAAGCTAGTCCTATGGGCTGAACACAATCAGATGAAGTTCAACAGGGACAAGTGCCGGGTCCTTTATCTGGGTAGGAAGAAACCCTCACCATACCTATACGTTGGGTGGTGGTCCACTGGCTGGCACTGCATCCGAAACGGACCTGGGGGTGACAATTGACCAAGGGATGAATATGAGCCACCAGTGTGACAAAGTTGTCAACAGAGCAAATAGAACTCTGGTGTGCATCAGCAGATGTGTTGCCAACAGATCCAGAGAGGTACTCCTTCCCCTCTATTTGGCATTGGTGAGGCCACAGCTGGAGTACTGAGTCCAGTTCTGGGCACCGCACTTCAAGAAGGGTGTGGACAAGCAGGGTGCTACACTTGGGCAGTAGGAACCAGCAGCACACTTATAAGCTGGGAAACTCCCTTCTTGAGAGCACAGTGGCAGAAAGAGATCTTGGAGTCATTATTGACTCCAAGATGAACATGGGCCGACAATGCGAGGTCACGGTCAGTAGGGCTAACTGTATCTTGTTGTGCATCCACAGATGCAGCTCAAGCAGGGCCAAGGAGGTGAACCTCCCCCTCTATGCGACACTGGTCAGGCTGCAGCTGGAGTACTGTGTTCAGTTCTGGGCGCTGCACTTCAGGAGGGATGTGGACAGCATTGAGAGGGTCCAGAGGAGGGCCACCCGCATGATCCGGGGACAGCAAGGCAGACCCTACGAAGAGAGGCTACAGGACCTTAACCTGTTCAGCCTTCACAAGAGAAGGCTGAGGGGGGACCTGGTGGCCGTCTATAAACTCACCAAGGGGGAACAGCAGGGTTTGGGAGAGACCCTGTACCCCATGGCGCCCCCCGGGGTAACAAGGAATAACGGCCACAAACTGTTAGAGAGTAGGTTTAGACTAGACATCCGAAGGCACTACTTCACAGTAAGGGCAGCTAGGATCTGGAACCAACTTCCAAGGGAAGTGGTGATGGCTCCTACCCTGGGGGTCTTTAAGAGGAGGCTTGACGTGTACCTGGCTGGGGTCATTTGAGCCCCCTTTTCTCTCCTGCCCAAGGCAGGGGGTCGGACTTGGTGATCTACAAGGTCCCTTCCAACCCTACTTCTATGAATCTATGAATTATAGGAGAGGAGGGGTGTGGCAGGCCAGTAGGGGTAGCTCCTGCGTTGAGCCTCCCACCTCACTATGCCCGTCCACCTGCCGGACTCCACGTGTCTCCCCAGGGGCACCTAAGCCCTAGCAGACCCCCTTTCGAGCCCTACCGCAGAGTCCGGGGGTAACGTGCTGCCACCACCCCAAAAGGGGACCTTCTAGGTTCTGTGTCCTCGGGGAAACACAGGCCTAATAGTCCTACGGGTACTCGACACGATCCAAGCACTTGGAGCTCCTCCCCAAGTCAGGGGCCAAAAAGGATAGTCTCCTTTAGTCTGCAGACCTAAGGGGCCTCCTAGGCATAATTAAACCCACCCCTCAATAAGTCTCCTACACCAGTCACAAAGGAGAACTTTATTGGTTACAAAGGGTGGGGTTAGGATAGGGTAAGAGGTAGAGCGCTATCAAGGGATTACCATTGAGCAAAACAGTCTGGCTGAGGTAGCCGTTTGATACGCAAATGCATCACTGTGAGCTGACTAGCTCTCTAGAAACACTTACAAGTATCATTCAGAAGATAGTAGACATCTGGCTTGGAGATTTCCAGAGAGAGAGCGTTTCAGATGGATCAGACTCTCTCCCTGTGTCCTGATGCTTGTGTCATGCTGGTAAAATGGGTTCTCTTCCTTCTTCTTGGACCAGGCCATTATATAGCCTTTCTAACCTCAGCAGCCCAGTCCAATAGAAGCCAGCAGTGTTGGCAGCTAGCCAACCGATTTAAAAAGGATCACTGGTCACCTGGTCAGAGGAGCAGGGGCTTTTCCCTCCCCCATTCAGGTGACCAGAGGGACCGCGCCCGCACACCAGGATTTTGTCACGTAAGCAGGGAGGAAAATCCCCCCTCCCTTATGAATTCAACCCCCGTGTCCCAAGCTGACCGGGACAGGTTTCTGGAGAGAGACACAGACGGTGGCACTTCTGCCACAAGGGGAACATGTGACCCATACTCTGGAGAGCGAGGCTGGGGTGTGGTGAAAATACAGGCCCTTATTTAGGATGTTCATACCCCCTCCTCCACCAATATCTGGGCTGCAAACCACCTTTCTGGGCCCCTGGCTGCCTTGGAACCTCTAAAACTGTCTCCATACTCTGAACCTCAGACTTGGACCATCCTGCCCAGTACCTACTTGCTCCTGTTAGCATTTGCTCCTGTTTCCTCTTGGATGTCCTGACCTGGATCAACCTCTTTCCTTGACAATGGCCTCATCTCCCTATTAAGTTCGATGCCTGACTTTGACCTTGGCCTCTCCTCCTCTCTTCCGCTAAATCCCTGACCAAATACGATCCTCTCAGACTGACCATCTGTTCCCTGAACACGCCTTACTGCAGGAAGCCCTGGCTACTGCTTTGAGATGTGCGGCTCCTGACCACAGTGTAGACAGAAATGGGACCTGCACTGGGTGAGTTGCCGCCATGGAGTGGACCTGGGTGGCTGCTGTCAAGACCAGGGTGGTGGTGACAAGAGTGAAGCAACTGGACACAAGTGTGTGCAACACAGCTGCTCCTCTGAGACAAATTCTTTCTTATGAACTAACCAGACCAGCATTTCAGATCCCTTGGAGAGGATATTGTATGCACTGTAACAGACTCCGAATTGCATGGCCTTTCAGTGACATTAGTGGGCCTCATGCTTTTGGGCTGCCCTCAAAACCCATGCCCTGATGCTCCATAGTTTGGACCAGAGACTAGGGAACCACTGGTAAAAAGATTCAGATTCCCACAATGCCAGGCGGCATCCACAGGACACCCAGCTGCTTCCTCCTTGCAAAGGGCCTGAATTCATATCTGGAGCTGAAATGTAAATCATTCCAGTTCATGTCACTTGGGCCAGGCCTTTGACTTAATAATTTCAGGGCCTCTCCTCAGCACAGTAACACCAGCACTGGAACCAGCAGCGTCCTTGGTGCTCAGCCCTCCCCTTGGATGCTGAGGGGAGGCACAGTGTGTGACTGGCATCCAACCTCCCTCAGAGCAGGGACGGACTCTTTTAACTGTACACCATGTGCTGGGCTCAGCAGGAGCTTCCTCCGCCCCACTAAGCTGCGGCATAACACACAGGATCAGAGGTGCCTCCTGCCCAGGAGATCTGATCACTGATGTTTTCTCAGTAACATGCATTTCCCCAGGCCCGATAGGCAGACTAGGACAACAAAGGCTAGATGCCATTACTCCAGCAAGTGCCTGCATCCCCTTTCCAATGGCACTCCTGACCCAGATACACCCCACAGGTCCCTTTGGAGCATGGACCACTTCCTTCTGCCATCAGACCCGCCAAGGCATGCACACCCATTCCTGACCACCTCACCCCCATTACTCATACAGAGGGACAAGGGCTGGTGGGAAATGTTTTATTTGCAGAACCAAGGTGAAATTCCTGTAGAAATTCGAGACTATGGAGTGTCCCCAGGAGACCTCAGGAAAGCCCAGCCCTCAAGGCTCCTACAGTTCAGCTGGACCAGACTCTTCCTTGTATACAATAGGAGGCACCTGTGCTTGGGGAAGGCAGTCACTGGGGATTGTGGGTGATATCCATGTGCCTATGAAGTCCTGCTCTAGCCATACAGACCAATGGCTGTTGCTCATGTAGTTGCCAACAACCCACAAACCCATCACAGAGCCTAGGTGACAAGGTGTGAAGGAAGTAGAAGGACTGAACTCTGCTAGCTCCAGCAGATGCAGCTGGGCTGTGGGGGACAGAGATTACACGTGTGTGAAATGAAATACAATGAAATTACGTGTGTGAAATGATAGAGGAGGCAGAAAGACTTGAGGTTTGTCGGCGTCTATCCCAGAATGCCCCAGGCTGGTAGTACCAAGGTCCCATGATGTAGTTCAGGTCTCTACTATTCTCCCTGCAAATGACAGCACAAGAAATCAGGCTGTTTTCAGGTGGGTCCATTTCATTTCCGCAGCTGCATGTTTCCCTCTCTGCTAAAGCGGTCTCCCTCATCAATGATCAGTCCCTGCATCACCCATCTCTGGGTCAATGCACTTATTTTTATCCTGCTGCTTTAATCTTCTCACAAATGCAGAATTGAGTTTCTTCACACCTGCCCATCTTAAATGCCACACCTTGGACATACACACAGCCACCACCTGCATAATTTCCACGACTGTGGTCTGGGAGCTGAATCCTAGAATGAAAAATCACAGTTTACAAGTCACACCCATCCTCCCAAACTCAGTGCACCGTGACACTTGACCAGCTCTCTGCCCTGTTTGTACTGACAGCAGGGGACACTGAGACAACAGCCTAAATAAGGAAGGGCAGAGATACTCAAGGATAAATGTGTCAGAGGAAAATCTCCCAGCACAGGACCCCTGCACTCTCATGGCACATGGTACAAGACAAGTTGTCTTGTACCATGTGACAGGTAGTCAACCCTGTTTGCAGACCACACTTCACTTAAGAAAAACTTTGAATTTCCAGAAAGTCCACCTGGAATCAAATCTGCAGAATGGAGGGTTTTTTACTTCCTTTCCTACAACTAAAAAGTGCTGTCAGAGGTGTCTCTGCTCTGCACACTCCCATATATTATCCACAGACTGCACAAGCGCAGACACTATCCACCATGAGATAAATTACTGTATCATATGGATCACCAGTGTATCCTTTACTTGCAATCCACCAGCCTTCCCTCTTCCAACTAACCCATCTCCCAGAATCTGAAACTGCCAACCCTTGAGCGATCCCAAATGGCTGCTCTTTCTTGTGGCGATTTGGTCTGAAAGAAACATGGGAATGGTCCTTAATATGGACAGTTTGAGGGGAAGAAAAGCAATTTTAAGGCAGAGAGCAGCTGTCATAACTCTTCCACCTCTGTGCTCTTGGACTTATGAGCTATGTCAGTCACCAGGCTTCACAAAGATACAGTAACTAGTCCCTGTACACTGCTGAAGGTTTCCTATAACCTTCATGTTTCCTGTAACACACATCAGTAGTATAATTTGTGGTGGGTGATTGGGGCACCAGCCCTGTAAGCCAACTGAGAAGGAGAGATAGAATTCACCCCCACTTCCGCTGGAGTTTGTCCCCCAGCTGCAAGAGCAGCCCCATGGTAGTGGGGGCAGATACCCTGCTGCTGCTGTAAGAGCTACAACTGAGGCCAGCACACTGCTCTGCAGTAGCAGTAGCAGTAGCAGCAGCAGCCAAGGACTGTTTTTGAGTCCCTGCCATGAGTAAGACTCCTGAGCATTTCCACCACCACTCTCCCACAGAGTTTGCCAAGGATGAAAACTGTGCGTCTTATGCCTCTAACACACATAGCCTGTGTACAGCTCATAGTGTTTCATGATCTTTCCTCGGGCATCTCTGAAGATGTTTCTGCTGGCATCTCTAACCCAAGAAATGGTGCATGGCAGGGAGGATATTGACTAGGATAAAGATACTCTAGAAAGATCTAGGTCAGTGCTCCCCCTGTCTAGCACCACCAGAGACAAGGATATTGGGCTAGGTAGACCATTGGTCTGACCCAGTACAGCACTTCTTAAGTTCTTCAGGAGGGATGGGGCCCTCATGCTGTATGAGCTGAGCCCAGCAGAAAGTCCCTCAGAGGCTGATGGACAAGTGCCTTTTCCACACATGCTATCCTAAGCCAACCAGTGCCTTATCCACACGTGCTGGTCCAATGTGTCCAGCTGTAGCCCACAGGACACAGGAGAGTGACACTGCCTTTCTCCACCACCACCTGACTGTAAGTGTCCAAATACCTGGGGCCAGTTCTGTCTTGTGCTGTGAGCTGGGGCCTTTCACTCACTGAGTCTATGATGAAATTCATGGCACTGTTTATTGGACCTGTCTGAGGCCCTCAGTCCCATGGTGAATCACACCCAGGGGCTTGTGCTGCATTTTGCTGCAGAATTATGGATACCCTAATAACGCAGACTTACAGGCCAGGAGAGAGAGCTGTGCCATCCGCCCAGACCCACTTCTTTGTTTCAGAGTTGTATGACAATCCAGTCCAGAATGGGTAGTAGTACAGAGCGCTTCCCCGATATTCAGAATAAAGAAATGACTCTGTATTGATGAAGTCCTACATGAGAACAGGTTTAAATGCGAAAGAAAGTGAGATGTCTCAGGTGCATAATTGCACCATCAGTGTGCCCGGAGTTCCCTCCACAGTATCCCTGAAGACCTCTCTATAGAGTTTATCTCTGTAGACAGGCTTCATATCCTGCACCTGCCTAAGGGCCTGTGCCAGTACAGGCATAGTGAATCTCAAGCACCCTCCAGGTAGTGCTCTAGTACCTGTCACACACACACACACACACACACACACACACATCTAAACAGAAACACGAGACATGGAAATACAATTAAGCCTATAAATGTACAAGCCACCCACGGATTAATTTCCAGTCACAGAGACCTCCAAGGTGTTTTGCTCATTCACACACCCCCCAGCACTCAGAGCCCCACTCTTGGCTTTACCTGGTCAGCACCTGGTCACTGAAGCCCACCCCCAGGGCTTGACTCCTGCCTGATTCTATTCACTCACTGGTTTGCATCAATATGTCAAAAGTAACATGGTCTCACCAGCTCTTCTTGGCTGTCAATCATGAGTAGGCTGGCAGAGTGAGAACTGCAGGAGGATTTACACTGCCCCCAAGGTCTTTTTTCAGGAGAAAAGAGGTAGGACCTGCTCTCGCTGTGACTCCACCGTCCCGGACACTTCTCTTCTGGAACAACACACTGCATCAGCTCACCGCATTCCCTGACTGCTCCCATGCTAGAGACACTGCCATCAGGAACAAGGGAATTTCACACCCACCATGTTCCTCCACTTCAACTATTTGCATCTCATGGGCCCTATGGTGAGGGGAGCTCCTGCCCTACATCTCAAAATGGGGATGGACCTTTCCCATCCAGGAGCACAGCTGCCGCCATGCAGGGAACACCAGGTGCTGGCTTCTTTGCCTGTCTGTGGGACAAGCCCGACCCGCCGCATCTTGGCTGAGGTCAGACCAATCCCTTCAGCCCAGACTAAACTAAGGAGGTGAGAGCTTGTCCCTAGTATGGAAGGTGAGCAGGGGACAGGAGCACCTTTCCTAAATTCAGACATAAGGCAAACTCCTAAAAAATCATTAAAACAAAAACCCAATATATTTTGTGTATTCATCAATTGAACATTTCATTCATGTAATCTGAAACATTTCCATTTAATTTCCATTATTTTTCTCCTTTTTGGCTACTGCTTTTCAATTTTGAAATAAAGTACCAGACCAGGAGAGCACAATCTTTTATTCATGCCTTTTCAGAACATTTTTTTGGACCTTGTGACAGCACCACCATGCAGTCACCCTTATCCAAGGCCCACACCTATTTGGTAAGGGAAATGGCACTTTGCCGGGCCAGAGCAGCCCCACATGTACTTTTGGGCCTGTCCTGACAGCATCTCCCTCCCCACAATTTACCGTTGTCAGGAGGTTGATCCTGTGGCCTTCCTGGAACACGTGTGTTTGGTTCTGGACAAGACGCCGGACACTGGATGCGGTTTTCCTTCTCTTGGCTCAACTCCATGACTGAAACATCAGAACAGCTCAATAGCATCTGCTGTGATACAGGCTTCAGCAGAAATTTGTAGCCATAATGTTCTCTGTGTCATGGTGACTCACAAGTCCTAGTTGTGCTCCATCAAATGGTGGAGCCATTTTCCACTAGGAATGTGATGATTTTTCAAATTGGGCCCTTCTCGATAGTTTGCCGCCAGTTTGCCTTCCAACCCACTTTCTTAGCGTTCCATATAGAGGTCTAAAAGGTAGCCAAGGCCCCCAAGCTCCTTAGATGTTTTTGTCTTAGAAGTATTAGAGTAATTGCTGCACAGGCTTCCAGGATCTCCTTGGGGGCTGCCTTGAAGCTGTATAGGGTGGTGGCCATCAGCGAAGGACAGTCCGGTTGTCCTCTGTCCTCTATTGATATGAAACCGGACACCTTTATGTCCTCTATATTTCTCTACAACAGAAAAATAGGGGACATAGACGAGTCAGGTTTCATCTCAATAGAGGACAAAGGAAAGAGT